CCCAATATGCCAAGGTTGTGGGTTCAGTCCCCAGTCCGGGTGCTTACGGAAGGCAAACGATCCATGTTTCTCTCTCACATTGATGTTTCTCTCTTTCCCCTACCCCCTCTCTAAAAATTAATAAGCATGTCCTCAGGTGAGGATTTTTTTAAAAAACACAAAAACTAAAAATTGCTAGGTAGACTCCCAGGAGAACAGCCAGGCATTTAAATTGCAAATGCGTATCGGAATACTTTGTACCTAACATATTTTGGTTGTCTGGTCAGTATTGCTTAATAGCTCAGGCTTTGAGCTTATGTGCAAAGTTCATTGAGAGGAATCACTTTGTAGGCCACTGGTTGTCTGTGTCGACTTCATCCCTAGAGCACTCGTTTTTATCAAGTGCACTCTCTTTAAAAACATCAAAGTTCTGCCGAAACTGGTTTGGCTCAGTGGATAGAGAGTCGGCCTGTGGACTGAAAGGTCCTGGGTTCGATTCCGGTCAAGGGCATGTACCTGGGTTGCGGGCACATCCCCAGTGGGAGATGTGCAGATGGCAGCTGATCGATGTTTCTCTCTCATCGATGTTTCTAACTCTCTATCTATCTCCCTTCCTCTCTGTAAAAAATCAATAAAATATATTTTTTTAAAAAAAAACAAAAACAAAACATCAAAGTTCTGACCTAACTGGTTTGGCTCAGTGAATAGAGCGTCGGCCTGCGGACTGAAGAGTCCCAGGTTCGATTCCGATCAAGAGCATGTACCTTGGTTTCGGACACATCCCCAGTAGGGGGTGTGCAGGAGGCAGCTGATCCATGTTTCTCTCTCGTCGATGTTTCTAACTCTCTATCCTTCTCCCTCCTCTCTGTAAAAAATCAATAAAAATATATTTTTTAAAAAATCAAAGTTCTTACAATGTGACAGAGAGTCTTTGCCCTTTTAAAGGAGTGGAATCATGAAGGACATAGAGGACCTGAACATAACTACTGATGTAGGACTGATCAAATTGAGTATCCCTGCTCCTGTATTTAGATTTTTAAGGTTGAATATATTCAAATTGCTTTTAGACTTCTTAAAAGATTCTACTCTAAATTCTATTCCTGTTTCTGAGAGGATTTCTATGCCAAATAAACATTTTAAAGAATGTGACAAATCCATGCCCTTCCCACCATGTCACAAGGGTACATCTGTCCCATGGTTAGGGACAATGGCTCTGTCATCATTGATTGACGACCATGGAGACAGAGCCATCTTTTTAAAAATGAAAATTGCTTACTAGAAGCTCTATCGTATGTCCTTGACATTCAGAGTATTCCTTTCTCTCATCAGCTGATGACAGTGATATAGACAGGCAGGTGGCTACGGGTTTCCAGGGTCTGAGTTGTGGGTAGGAAGCAACAAAAGCTTGCTTGAGGCCCTGTTCTGAGTTGCTTGGGGATACCTGTTTCTTACTGTTGCTGGGATATTGGAGCCACCAGGAAGCCTAGAACAAAATGCGAGCGTTTGTGTGTTCTGGCAGTGGGACTGTTGAGGAGGAAGAATGATGTCTCCCGAGACTCTAGAAAAGACTTAAGCTATTGAAAAGCCGGAAAGACCTGTATTTTATCATAAAGCCTTGTGACCACGTGTGCCTTGAATTCTCTGCATACTTTCCTCACCAGGCTTAGTGGCACAGAGGTTATAAATAAGAGTGTAGTGGGATAACTTAGTAACAGTGATGCCAGCTAATATCAAGTACTCACTCTATACCAGGCTCTGTTCTGTTTTATAGTTAACTAGAGGCCCAGTGCATGGAATCTGTGCACGGGTAGGGTCCCTAGGCCTGGCTGGCGATCAGGGCCGATCGGGGCCTTCCTTCCCCCAGCTGCCCGGCCTTCCTTCATTCCTTGCCACCCCCTGGTGGTCAGCACACGACATAGCAAGCAGTTGAACTCCTGAGGGGACAATTTGCATATTAGCCTTTTATTATATAGGATAACTCAGTGGTCGGCAAACTGTGGCCCCTTGAGTGTGGCTCTTCCACAAAATACCACGTGTGGGCACGCACGTACAGTGCGATTGAAACTTCGTGGCCACACTCAAGGGGCCAAAGAGCCGCATGTGGCTCGCGAGCCGCAGTTTGCCGACCACTGGGATAACTCCTTTCGTTCTTATAAAAACCCTGAGAGATAGGCAGAGTTGTGCCTCATTTTACAGACTGGCTGTAAAAATGGAAGTATATTCATGCCCGGCTAGCATGGCTCAGTGGTTGAGTGTCGACCTATGAACCAGGAGGTCACAGTTCGATTTCCAGTCAGGGCACATGCCCGGGTGTGGCCTTGATCCACAGTGAGGGTGTGCAGGAGGCAGCTGATCACCGATTCTCTCTCATCATCATTGATGTTTCTATCTCTCTCTCTCTCTCTCCCCCTACCCCTCTCTGAAATCAATAAAAAATATATTTGAAAAAAAATGCAAGTTTATTCATGTCCCTCCCCTTACCTGATCACCATACGCCTTGCCCCCTCCCCAAAAAAATTAATGATTCCCATATTTTCACTATATTCAAGGTGGGGCCGAGGAAACGTTTTAACAAGCTCTCCAAATGACGCCCTTAACAAATTTGGGAACAGGATAAAAACCCAAGCCCCTTGGGGTGGGGGAAAGTTGTCACACATTATCCTCTTACACTGGTCCTTGCTGGCTTCTCTAGTTTCATCTTTTACCATTCTCAGCTTCTCACCGCCAAATTACTTGAAATAGTCTTTGCCTGGGAATTCAGGTCAGGTCTGGACTGCATTGAAAGCCTACACATGCATCTTGTCCTCCTCGAGATGATTCAGGGAGGTGGCCCCTTCCGCTTCTTACAGGATTTGTATTGAAATTATTGGTCTTCCCCACCCTTCTGCGAGGTGCTCTGAGGTCTCATGCATTATTGCATTATGGTGCCTATTGCTTTACCATGTGCACAATAAACATGCAACCATTCGTTGAAGTGGATTTGTGACAGATCCAAGATGTCTCTGGCCATGGGAATCTTGGCTTCTGTAACTGATGTCTTGTCTTTCCCATTTCAGCTCCTGGTGGGCCCATGTGGAGATGGGGCCCCCAGATCCCATCCTGGGAGTCACAGAAGCCTTTAAAAGAGACACCAACAGCAAAAAGATGAACCTGGGAGTCGGTGCCTACCGGGACGATAATGGAAAGCCTTACGTGCTCCCCAGTATCCGGAAGGTGAGCGTGCCGTCCATCTCCTGCCTGGCTGGGATAAGTACACTGACGGGAGCACCCAGGGAGCGGCAGAAAGACCGCTGGACGGGGAGCCAGGAGACCCAGGTGCAGGTTCTGGCACTAACTGTTCCCATCAGGTTGTCTGAGCTGCAGTCCCCTTGGCTATAAGAGAGAGCCATTGGAAGTGCATGGTCTTTCCTAAGGTTGCATTTCTGTGATTGTCTCTGAAAGCGCCATAATGTCATATGTAATTCTGAGAGTGCACAAAAGGACCAAGAATTTCCATGCTGTCTCACGCATAGAATTAGGCCTTCGTGGATGGGCATTACTCTTATTTTCCATTTCTCTCCTTTTAATTGCCTTAATAAAGCTCACCTTCTCACACAGACATACTCTGTCCTTTTTTCCTATTGAACTATAGAATAATTTTCTTTATTTTTGTTGCATATTTATTAGTAGTCTTACTATTGATTATTATAGTTATAATTTAACTAATCCTCTAGGAACAGTTCTTTTTTTTTAAATATATTTTATTGATTTTTTTACAGAGAGGAAGGGAGAGGGATAGAGAGTTAGAAACATCAATCAGCTGCCTCCTGCACACCCCCTACTGGGAATGTGCCCGCAACCAAGGTACATGCCCTTGACCGGAATCGAACCCAGGACCCTTCAGTCCGCAGGCCGATGCTCTATCCACTGAGCCAAACCAGTTAGGGCGGAACAATTCTTTTTTAAGAAAGTATGTCTTCCTTTGCATCTGTCCCTCCTCCATTGAAATATGAATGTGCTGCTTTGCCACTTCCAAAGTGGATGGTGATGTGTCTGTCATTCCTCCGTACTGCAGAGCTAGGCACCGTGAGTGGCAGTTCAGAATACTCTGGGGTAAGAGTATTCTCTCATCACCTGAACTGTTACGCCCTCGTGAGCCACTGCGGTAATAGAGCGGGGGCTGAATGAACCACTGAAGAAAAATTTCTGAGTACATAGGAGGGCACCTTAGGTATCATCTCTACAAATCTCTTAGTAGCAAAAAGGACTCAAGAAGCAGGGTGTGCTTTTGGTCTCAAATCAGTTTAGAATACCCAGCAAATGTAGCTGTTGTTGTAAGCTGGAACCCCACCACACACTTGTGTACATTAGCTCATCGGCTCTTCACCTCAACCATATGAGATGTAGAAACAGCTGTTCCCTCATTCAACAGGTGGGGAAACGGGCTCAGAAAGATTAATAATTTGCCCAGGTCAACACAGCTAGTAAGTTCTTAGACTGGCATATATCTTGAAATACTTTCTTTTTATTTATTTTGTTTGATTTTTATTATTTTACTAGAAACCCGGTACACGAAATTTGTGCACTGGGGAGGGGGTCCCTCAGAGGCAGGAGAAGCTCCCACCACTGCCGCTGCGCTCGCCAGCCCTGAGCCCATCTTCTGCACCGACCAGGGGGCAGCTCCTGCGTTGAGCACCTGCCCCCTGGTGGTCAGTGTGCGTCATAGCGATCGGTCATTCCAACGTTCAGTCGATTTGCATATTAGCCTCTTATTATATAGGATATCTGTTTTAAGTGTTGCTCTTAAACCTTGTTATGGTGCATCCCAAGAACGCCATTTTATGTTAAATGGTAACCAAGAGACACTACCCATCCACATAAAACTGACCTTTAAAATTAATTTAAATATTTCTGTTCTGCAATATAACATATAAAGTATTCTACTTATCCTTCTTCTGGGACAGTATCTCCAAATAAAAAAAATAAAGCTTTACCTCCAAAATTTAAGTAGAAAACATTTAATACAGGCTGGGGCAAAAGTTAGGTTTACAGTTGTGAGTACACAAAACAGTTTATTCTTGTATTATTATTAATTATTGTACTATTTTCTATATGAACAAACTAAACCGACTTTTGCCCCACCTGTCTTAATCAAGGTAATTCCAGGTGAAAAGAGCTAAACAGGTGCTTTTTCTCTTGTCTAGGCAGAGGCCCAGATTGCTGCAAAAAATCTGGACAAGGAATACCTGCCCATCGGGGGACTGGCCGAGTTTTGTAAGGCGTCTGCAGAGCTGGCCCTGGGCGAGAACAGCGAAGTGCTGAAAAGCGGCCGGGTAAGCGAGCAGACTCTGGTGTCATACAGGGTCTGTCCTTAAATGTAATAATTTAGATACATTTGAGATAATTCAAACAATTTAAAACAAATAAGAAAAGAAACATCACTTTGTGCTTGGTGATGGTTTTAGATGGCCACACTTTTGCTAATATCTCTGCTTTAGCTAATAAATTGACCCTACTTAAATAAAAGATTTCCTATAACACCAGTTCCAAAAAATATGGTAGTGACTTGATAGATTTGACACTGCTTTTCTGTTAGTTTCCATGTGCTTATGTTCATTTGACATTAAGTACGCTTTAGAAACTCCAAACTGTGCCTAGTTTTAGGCCTATACTTAGCCCCCACCCTCATGCCCTAAGCTTCCAGCTTAGATGGAGGAAGCAAGCAGGAAACAAGCCACAGGTAGGCTCTGGCAGCTGGGACCAGCCGGGCACTCTGCTGGTCCTTCACAGCCCTGCTGCCTCCCTCCTCTGAGGTCCAGGGAGCATCACTGCAGCCATGATGGGGGAGCACAAGTGTCCCTTAGTTACCTCCTTCCGGCTCCCTGAGGGGTCCCTTCTTGTGGAAGAGAGGTGGCCCTAAAGGTCACTGCACATAAGCTTTTTGCACACAGATTCCCGAATGCACCGTGGAGTACATGCAGGCCCACACTTGTAGTAGAGACTAGCATCAAGCATGCAGGCCACCAAACAGCTCACCTGACCCAACAGCTCATGTGCCTTATAGTTTACTTTCTTTTGAAACATATATGTTTCTCTAATGGATATATTTGTATGTTTAAATTTTTTTTCTGTTTAAGTCTGGGGAAAACACAAAGTAGCAAAACTACGCCCACACTTCTCCCCTCCACACCCCTCCAAGGACAGAATAAATACATTTTATTTACAAGACTGGTCTAAGTCCACAGGTTACTTCATTGACTCAGAGTAAAACATATAACCTTGACCCAGTGGGCATGGAGCAATGACCATAAGTCATGGACAGAATATGGTTTGAATATCCATACAGTCAACCACCTGTTAACCCCTCGTGAAAACTTCTGGGTTTTTTTCTGTAACTTTTGCTTAGTCTGTGTACCTCTAATAGTCAATTGTTACCTAAGTATGCGACTGGCCTATCTAAAAATAACATCAGTTTGCCTTTTATAAACTGCTGTGCCTTTGTGAACCATTGGTATCAGATCTACAGTCAGGTGTTTATTTTTATCACGCCAAGGTTTGCAGAGACCAAGTTTGGCTAGGAAAGAGTTTGTTGGTTGGGTTCCTCCCATTTAATGCAGTGCCCGCCAGTCCAGAAAACAGGTTGGTGTTTTGTAGAGCCTTGCTTCTATGGTGCCTTAAAAAATAAAAATAAAATAAAAAAAACACTGTGGTTTCCTACTCATCTCCTAACATGGACTGGTTTGAAGAAACATCTACTCAGGCATCTGTCCAAATGATTAACATTTCAGATTCTGAAAACTCATAAAAGGAGCCTCTTGGACAACCTTTGATATGTAGTAATGTTAGTCTAAGGTACTTTTCAAGGACCTTTGATGTTCAGAGTCACTCCATTTTGTATACTTGTACAATAATGTTTAAATGTGGTAACTGTTCTTAGTGTCTTTTCCCCCCCACTGGGGAGGTGGGGGTTTTGTCCTGAAAGTCTCACGTAACACGGGATGGTGCTACTAACAGGCTGTAAGGAATTAGCTCTGCATCAGCAGGGCTGTCGGAAACTGAGGAGACCGCCCTTTGGGGAACCAATGAGGAGAGTCCAGTCAGTCTGTGGCTTAGCAAATGGGGAAATGAAGCAGTGCCGCTCTCTCATTTCCTGGTGCTCATTTGGGGGTATCGTCAGCCTCTGTGTGCTTGGCCTCTGCTCTGTTGAGCTCAGGGAGTGGTGCCTCACTGACCTCGTGTCTCCCGCAGTATGTCACCGTGCAGACCATTTCTGGAACCGGGGCCCTAAGGATCGGAGCCAGCTTTCTGGTGAGTCTGGAAATTTCTTCAGCAAAGAGCTGTAGGATGACGGGGTTTTCTACCGCATGTGTGTTTGCTGACTCAGACGTAGACTTCCTGTCTCCACAACCTTGGAAGACTTCTCATTCCCTGATAAATGAACTCGGGGGTTAAAAATTAAAGTACTTAGAAGAAATCAGACATTATAATTATAGTAAGACAGTATAATAATAATGAATATAATTTATTGAGCACATCCTGTTACTAGAAGCTTTTATATTTTAACTCAGTTGATCTTTCTGAAGGAGGTTCAGTTAACACCATTTTACAGATGAAGAAAGTGAGGCCCTGGTAGGTGCTTGGCCACACGGCCGTGTAACTGTCAGAGCCTGGGTTTCCCCTGGGCAGTCTCGCTGCTTAGTCAGTACTGGCTCTCACTCAGGGAGAGGAGCTGTGTTTCAGGAGAGAAAAACGTCTTTTCCGTAAAATAGATCAACTTTTTTCACCTCCCCGTTCATCCGTTTTTCATTCCCTTTTATCCCATCTCTCAGCAAAGATTTTTCAAGTTCAGCCGAGATGTCTTTCTGCCCAAACCGACCTGGGGGAACCACACGCCCATCTTCAGGGACGCTGGCATGCAGCTGCAGGGCTACCGCTATTATGACCCCAAGACGTGCGGCTTTGACTTCACGGGCGCCATGGAGGACATTTCCGTAAGTGTGACTCGGGGGGGGGGGGGTGCATGGGGGAGGAGAATCAGGAATAAACCTCCTTGTGGAGACTTGAGGTCGCCCAGCGTGGTCTCAACACCTGACGTAAAATACGGAGGATGAGCCAACTCCAGACCTTGGGTTCTTTTTGTTATTTACCAAGTAATAGTGACCCTGTGGCATTTCAGGAAAATTGTCTCCTTGTCAAGCTGCAAAGCGATCTCACGGTTGTTTGTCTTTTTAGAAAATGCCACAGCAGAGTGTCCTCCTCCTGCACGCCTGTGCCCACAACCCCACGGGCGTGGACCCTCGCCCCGAGCAGTGGAAGGAGATAGCCTCCGTGGTGAAGGTGAGGGCCGAGCTGACTGGTGACAGTTCTGTGTGGTAACCAGCCTTCGGTGCTTCACTGGCTACAGCTGAACAGACAACTGCCAGGAGCCCACATGAAATTTCCACACTTTTTAAAAAAATGTGTTTATTTATTTCAGAGGGGGAGGACGAGGGAGGGAGAGAGAGAGAGAAATATCAGTAAAGAGAGAGAATCACTGATTGGCTGCCTCTTACACCATCCAACTGGGGATGGAGCCCGCAACCCAGGCATATGCCCTGACTGCGAATCGAACCGTGACCTCCTGGTTCAGGGGTCAACACTCAACCATTGAGCCCCACCGGCCAGGTCCACACATTTATTAATAGCCAGGAAAGAGCTCTGCATTTGCGAGATTAACAATTCTGTACTTGATGCTACATGAGCAAGGTCTAGGAAATTATGATAAAACTTTGTCGTTGCCTGGCCTGTCTCGTAGGCATCCACTGGCCCCACATGTCTGCTGGTGGGGTCTCCAGCTGTCCTGGTCAGTGGTTAAACTTGTTCATCCTTTTTCATGTCCCCTCCTATCCTTGCCACTTCCCTCGGCATCGCCATTGTCACTCATGGGGTCAGAATTCCTAGGGAGGAAGATAACTCCTGTCGCCTGCATCCCCATTGTCACTCCTTTTGGTTCCCCTTCCTTTACATTCTGTCAGACCTCAGCTGCAAACAGAATGAGAGAGAGAAGCAGCATTCGGAGAGCACTTTCAGGATGAGATGGCTCTGACATGGCTGGCCCCTGAGCCCTGGGTATAAGATGAGTCTGCCAGGGTGACTTTAGCTCCAGGAAGGCTGATGCTGATCCTGTGCTGACTAAACTGGAATAATTACCCAACCACTCAGGGCCTAAAACGAGGTTCTCATTTGAGTAAGCAGCTGCCTGGGGAGATGGAGATTGAGATTCTCCTTTCTTAGTGTCTTCTTGAGGGACCATACCAACCGGAGTAAAGAAATGTACATTGATATCTGAACTCTTAGGAAACGGAAACGTTGCCAAGCTGCCACCTGGAGAGGAGACTGTGTTGATTCTGTCTCTGTGAGGCAGGCCTGGTCCCAGTAAGCACAGTGACCATCTGGGCACCTTGAGAGGGGCTGCCTGGAGCTTTCATCTTCTTCTCTTTTCCTTCCAGAAAAACAACCTCTTTGCGTTCTTCGACATGGCCTACCAAGGCTTTGCCAGCGGCGATGGCAACAAGGATGCCTGGGCTGTGCGCCACTTCATCGAACAGGGCATTAATGTTTGCCTCTGCCAGTCCTATGCCAAGAACATGGGCTTATACGGTAAAGTGAAAGACCCAGTGCGCGTGTATTCTGATGACATTGAGGAAGTGCTGGGAGGGGTGCCACACAGGTGTGGGGTTGCGTATGTGTGTATGTTGTCCCTGTCCCTCCTTCCCCAGAGAGGCAAGACAGGTAAAATGGATTGTACTGATCTTAGCCACATCTTTAGTGTCCTTGAATTTTCCCAGCAAAGAAAACTGATTACTGCTTCTCTAAACAGTGACTATTCTATGAGCCACAAAGATGGGTGCAAGAGAAAGAGACCTTTAAACACTCTTGAGTATTCACCTTTCTGTTGTACCCGGATTCACCATCCTGGTTGCTAAAAACTTTTTACTCATAAGAGTTATTTTTGTGGTGTTTCTATTGGAAACAGCTAATGTGTAGCACATGTAATCGTGATTTGCTTTAGATAGAACTAGACAAGATCCATTCTTTCTTTTCAGGTGAGCGTGTGGGAGCCTTCACTGTGGTCTGCAAAGATGCCGATGAGGCCAAAAAGGTGGAGTCACAGTTGAAGATCTTGATTCGCCCCATGTATTCCAACCCTCCTGTCAACGGGGCCCGGATCGCCTCCACCGTTCTGAACAGCCCCGATCTGCGAAAGCAATGGTAAAGACACGTCGCCGCCCCAGCCACCCCCTTCCCCCCACTAAGTCTTCAAAGCTTGTTTATAATCAGCCACTAGTGACGCCCAGCATCACACAGCTACCACATGTGGAAGGGGGCAGGGAGAGAAGAGTGCCTTTTGGTAGCATTTCCAATAAATACATTGGTCTTTCCCTGGAAGAGACAAGCATAATGCAAAGATGGTATTTCCTTTTATTCCATCATCTCCAGGTTAAGTAAATTCAAGTTCATATTGAAGTACCCTACAGAGGAAAACTTCCTGAAGAAAATCATAGTTTTGTTTTTATTTTAATACCATCTGAATACCTTGGCACCTGAGCTCTAAGGTAGTGTTACTCAGTATTTGTTTGTTTTTTAATCTTTTTTTAAAATGATTTCAGAGAGGAATAGAGAGAGAGAAACAACAATGATGAGAGAGAATCATCCATCACATACCCCCCATTGGGGATCAAGCCCACAACCCGGGTATGTGCCCTGACCAGGAATCTAACCATGACCTCCTGGTTCATAGGTCAACGCTCAACCACTGAGCCATGCCAGCTGGGTATAAAACAGAATGCTATAAAATAGTTTTTTCTTCCTGGACCAGCATATGACTCAGTCAGGGACACACTAGGCTACACTAGGGAGTACTCAAGGAAAGTGAAAATGCTGTGAGCTGTGGCATATCTAACGGACTTGGCCAGAATTGAGCTGCATCCCAGGCTTTTTACAGGTTGCAGGAAGTGAAAGGCATGGCCGACCGCATCATTAGCATGCGGACCCAGCTGGTCTCCAACCTCAAGAAGGAGGGCTCCTCCCACAACTGGCAGCACATCACCGACCAGATTGGCATGTTTTGTTTCACAGGACTGAAGCCCGAGCAGGTGAGTGGACTCTCGGTAGCAGACCAGTTACTCAGTCCTAGGGCGCCTACTTATTCAGGATTACCCCGAAAACAGTCATTTTGGAGGCTTTTAGGGACATGAAGTATGTGTGTAGCGTTCATTCTGCTTTGTTTTTTATTAGTCATTTACCTATCTGCATCCTCTGTGAGGTACAGACTTCCAAAAAGCAGGACTTGTCTTCATCGTTGTTGTTTTTTGGTTTTTTTTTAAAATATATTTTATTGATTTTTTACAGAGAGGAAGGGAGAGAGATAGAGAGTTAGAAACATCGATGAGAGAGAAACATCGATCAGCTGCCTCCTGCATACCTCCTACTGGGGATGTGCCCGCAACCAAGGTACATGCCCTTGACCGGAATCAAACCTGGGACCTTTCAGTCTGCAGGCCGACGCTCTATCCACTGAGCCAAACCGGTTCTGGCATTCATTGTTTTTTATAAAGCAGATAACCACTGCTTCTCTAAGAGAGACCAGAACAAGCAGGGACCTGAAAATTAGAAGGAGAAACTGCTGATCCACAGCTGGATCCTGCATCTGTTTTTCCTGCAAATGCTGACTCTAACATTTTTTTCACCTGTTCCTCCTCAGAATTCATCACCCTATTTTAAAGTAGCTTTCCTTCCTTTCACTCTAAGCTAACACACCATATTCTGGGACTAGGGTTTAAGTGAAAAAAACAGAGCCTCTGTTATTTTTCTATCTTAACACGTGGCTCTTGTGCCAGGGCTGGGGACACACACACACTCGCGTGAGCTGGACATGCCCAAGCATTCTTCTCTCTGCAGGTGGAGCGGCTGACCAAGGAGTTCTCGGTCTACATGACAAAGGACGGCCGCATCTCCGTGGCAGGAGTCACCTCCGGCAACGTGGGCTACCTTGCCCATGCCATTCACCAGGTCACCAAGTAATGTCCGTGATGAGAGGAAACAGAGACAACCCCCCTGCCAACCTCTGCTGCTGTGGGCTGCACACGGAGGAAGAGGGAGGGTGGGTGGTGGTGGGCGGATCACTTCTTTCAACCACAGTACTGAAAACTCAGCGATGGAATGGTTTCTCGGCAAAGGACTTGTAGGGAACTGGGCAGAGGCATCTGTGGCTGGTGCGTGGAACTTTGTGGCTCTAAACCAAAATCTCCCTCATCTGTGTACCTCCAGCTTTTCCGAAAGAGTTTACATGTACAAGAACGTCATAGCCAAAAACCTGTCAATCACACCATTGCAATATTCCAGAAGCTTTAACCGAAGCACCTGATGGTGTCGATGCCACGTATTCGAGCCTCTCTGAGAAGACCTGGCTCCAGCCATCATGGTCAGCCTCACAGTTGTGCTCCCGGATTGAGCAGCCTCACCAGCAGACCACGTTGCAGAACCCGAGCTTCGTGAAAGCTAGCGAGTCGGCTGCCACGGCAACCAGGAACACGAAAAGATGCTGTTTCCGGTCTTACTTAAGAAAAAGAGCGAGAAGGCTCTGCTTCTGGTACTTATTTGTGGGCATTTCAATGTTCCCTTCTCTTCTGTCAGCGCTGCTCTTCTCCATAGACACAAAGATCTGTAGCCAGCCTAGATTTTCACCCTCTTCTGCTTGATGACCATCAACCCCACCCTGTAGCGCTTACTCACCTGAAGAATGAAGAACATAATTTACTGCTCACCCCACACCCTCACCTCTCAACAAAGAATAGCGGAGAATGGTTAACAGATTATTGCAGCGTCCTCTTCAGTGATTGCTTGTCTCCCGCCGGCATGTCGCCTCTGCCCAGTTGGACCTCGTACCCTAGTGCAGTGTTGTGCAGCCACTCATCTCCCGTCCCGGGGGATGCAGGTTGAGCCAGGCAGGAGGATATTCAGGTTTTGGTTTTAACCTTCGTGCGCTTCCAGCTGGGCTCGGGCTTCACTCACCCTTTAGAAAGATCACCACCACCTACTCTAATCATGTAGACCTACTGCAGCCTGGTTTCTCTGTTACAATAAAGTTACTGCGACCCAACCACTGTCGACTATGTTATATTTTCTCTTTAATGGGAGGGAAGGGCAGGAGTGGGTGTATGTCCCGGAACTCTGAAGTCCTGTCCAGCTGACCATGAGCCAGTGGGTGTGTGAGCTGTTCTGAATGTAAACTAAAGCCACATCCTTGTCTCGCTCTCACTCAGCTTGTCTAGTCCAAAGATGTTGGAAATGTAGATATGATCCATTGGACCGTGGGGGACAAGTGGAGTACCTCAAAGGATCTGTGGGTGTCCGCAGGGAGCGGAGGAGATGGAGGGGAGGTGGCAGCTTCAAATAGCTCTGGGAGTGAGGTAGGTAATCTAAACAATGAAGGTAAAGTTAAAAGTGATGCCACCTGGATGTAAGATGACCACTGGGGACATCCCAGTAATGAGAAAGAGGGAAGTGAGAGGTGCTGTGAGAATGAAAGTCCAGGATGGCACGTCTTCCATTTTTCAAATAACAAATCCTGTTTTATATATGTTTTTATTGAATTCAGAGAGAAAGGAGGGGAGAGGGAGGGAAACATCCATGTGAAAGAGAAACATCGATCAGCTGTCTTACATATGGAAACCGAAACCCCAACCTGGGTATGTGCCGTGACTAGGAACTGAACCGGTGACCTTTTGGTGCAGGGAATTGAACCTGAAACATGGACCCCAACCGGGAATTGAACCATGACCTCCTGGTTCATAGGTCGACACTCAACCATTGAGCCATACCAGCTGGACCACAATCCTACTTTTCTGGAACATCTATTGATGCTTAAAAGTTGGCAACTGATTCAACTTTTTAAAAATATTTTTTTAATGATTTCAGAGAGGAAAGGAGAGGGAGAAAGAAATAGAAACATCAGTGGTGAGATAGATTGGCTGCCTCCTGCACTCCCCCATACCTGGAGACGGGCATGTGCCCTGACCAGGAATTGAACCTTGGCCTTCTAGTTCATAGGTCGACAACCACGGAACCACGCTGGCCTGGCCTGATTCAATTTTTTTAATGATTTACAGGCAAGATGCAAACAATAGGTCACCAGTTTGCAACCTCTACCATAAAGTCATCTACTCTTTAGCAGACATGGAGCAATGGCGCCTGCTTGGCATCAAGGTGACGCTGTCCCCTTCTGCTTAGTGGTAGGAGCCATTCAAGGCGGGCCAGGCTGGAAATGGAGCAGAGGTCAGGCCCCGAGGAGGGGACAGCGGGCTTAGCTTGCTCGTTCCCTCTTGTTGCTCACTCCCTGAGGGGCATGGTGCACAGCAGGCTTGCTCCTGACCCCAGCTTTTCTGTGTCCCTGTTGGGAACGGATGCACCAAGGTGGTAAATGGATAAGTAAGTGAGCTTCCTGGAATGGACTTTGACTGAATGTCTGGGAAAGTATCCTAAAACAGCATGTTATTCGGCTGTGCCGTTCAGGGACTGACTGCCCAGGTTAGCAGAAGCAGCTTTAAGTCTCCCTGATGGAACCACATGGTTGAAAGTTGGCCACCAAGACAGCAGGAAAGGGAACCTGACCACCCTGCTGACCTCGTTATTTTTAACCACAGGTATTGCCAGCTCACCCTGGACTAAGTCCCTTTCCTCACCAAACGCAGTCACGTGGGGTGTGTTTTTCTCAGCAGTTCAGACTGTTTGCCTTCAACCCTATCCTAGTTTTCTAGTCTGGGTCGAATATGCTCATGTTCATCCACTCGATGAAGGAGGTAATTTGCTCAGAATAGCCTCTCTTTTTTGTTTGTTTAAATACATATTTATTGATTTCAGAGAGGAAGGGAGAGGTAGAGAGATGGAAACATCAATGATGAAAGAGAATCATTGATCGGCTGCCTCCTGCATGCCCCCCACTGGGAACTGAGCCCACAACCTTGGCATATGCCCTGACCAGGAATTGAACCGTGACCTCCTGGTTCATAGGTTGATGCTCAACCACTGAGCCACGCTGAGCAGGCATGCCTGTTTATTATAGTTCAAAGTAGAATAGTTTCCAAATCTGGATTTTAAAAAAATATTGTTTCCCTAGCCTTATCTCTGGACATTCTGACTCTATGTCTGAGATAAGGTTTGGGGGTCATTTTGTTCTTTTAATAATAAAAAGAGAAAATTTTCTAGGAGGTTCAGAAACACCTGATTTGTTGACCAGCCATTGGGTACTATTGGACTAAACTGCCTCAGGCTTCCATCTACATGATCAAAGCCCAGCTCACTCAACCAGCTTGAGAATTTTTTTAACCTTTTTCCTTATGGGCTGTGGAAGTTTTTTTCATAGAAATTATTGGTTTGCATCTAATAAATAGAAGATAATTTTTTTATTTTTTTAAATGATAATCTTATAAAACTCGAGAAGCCCTGGCCGGGTAGCTCATTTAGTTAAAGTTGTCCAGATATGCCAAGGTTGTGGGTTCAATCCCCAGTCAGGGCACATATGTACAAGAGTCAAACAACATATAAATAAGTGGAACAAGTCCCTCTCTAAAATCAATGTTTTTAATCTTATAATTTTTTAATTGATTTCAGAGGAAGGAGGGAAAGGAGAGAGAGAGAAAGAAATAGCAACATGAAAGAAAACATCAATTGGTTGCTCCCTGCACGTGCCCCAACCAGGGATCGAACCCGCAAGCTGGGTATGTGCCCTGACTGGGAATTGAACCCACCAGCTTTTGGTGTACATCACACCAGCCAGAGAAATTTTTTAAATCTTGAGAATTTGTATCCAGAATATATAAAGAACACACTTCAAGAATAAAAAGAAAAATAACCCAACTAATAACTGGGAAAAGTATCTGAATAGACATTTCTCCAAAGACACACTAATGGCCAAAAAGCACATGAAAAGATGCTATAATCATTAGTCATCCAGAAAATGCAAATAAAAACCATAATGGGAATCACTTCACACCCACTAGGATGACTGTAATGAAAAAGACAGAATATAATAAGGATCATCAGGATGTGAAGAAATTGGACCCTCACACAATATTGATAGGAATGTAAAATGGTGGAGCTGCTTTGGAAAACAGTCCAGCAATTCTCAAAAAGTTAAACAGGCTTACCGTCTGACCTGGCAATTCCACTCTATACACTTACCCAAGACAAAAGAAAGCACACATCCACACAAACACATGTCCATGAGTGTTCATAGCGGCATTATTCACAATAGCCCAAAAGTGGAAACATAGCTAATGTCCAATCAACTGATGGATAAATAAAATGTGGTATAGCCATAGCATGATGAAATATTATCCTATACTAGAGGCCTGGTGCACGAAATTCATGAACTGGGGAGGGGGGTCCCTCAACCCGACCTGCGCCCTCTTGCAGTCTGGAAGCCCTCAGGGGATGTCCAACTGACAGCTTAGGCCCACTCCCCGCAATATGTAAATTGACTGAACGGGGAATAACTGCTTGAATGTGATGCTCACTGACCACCAGGGGGCAGAGCCTTGGTGGTCAGTGCGCTCCCACAGCGGGAGCGCTGCTCAGCCAGAAGCCGGGCTCACGGCTGGCAAGTGCAGTGGTGGTGGCGGGAGCCTCTCCTGCCTCCAGGCGGCAATGTGCTAAAGAACCCTCTCAGGGATGTCTGCCTGATGGCTTAGGCGGGGAGCAGGCCTAAGCCATCAGGCAGACATCCCCCGAGGGGTCCTGGACTGCAAGAGGGCGCAGGCTGGACTGAGGGACCACCCCCCCTCCAGTGCACGACGTGCACCAGGCCTCTAGTTTAGTAATAAAACGGAATGGAATGCAGTACCAATATGCTCCAACATGGATGAAACTTGATAACAGCTCATCCAAAACACCAAGTAGGTTAGTGGTACCAGGGGCTTGGGGGAGAGGAAATGGGGGTTGGGGGGTGTTTGACTACTAATGGTTATGGGGTGTGTTGGTGGGGGGAGTGATAACAATGCTGAAATTAGACAATGGTTATGGTTGCAAAACTATGAATATACTAAAAACGACTGTATTGGACCTTTTTCTTCAATTTCTTTTATTTTCTAATATATTTTTTATTTATTTCGGAGAGGAATGGAGAGGTAGAGAGAAACATCAATGATGAGAGAGAAACATTGATTGGCTGCCACCTACACGCCCACACAGGGAATCCAGCCCACAACCCCTGCAAGTGCCTGGACCAGAATTGAGCCATGACCTCCTGATTCATAGGTCAATGCACAACCATTGAGCCACGGCTGCCAGGTGTATTGGACATTTTTAAAGGATCGGTTTTAGGATAAAGTGAATAAAGCTCAAAAATAAAAAACGATTACTTTGAAAACCTGCAAACAGCTCAGACAGCCTTCAACAAGTGACCAGTTAAGCAAACCAGAACAGTACACACATACCGTGGAGACTACCTGCGGAAACTACAACTCCCAGAGTGTCCCGCGCTCCGTAGCCCGACTGTCACGTGACCTCTGTTCACGTGTCTCCCCAGCCGGCTGGGACATGAGGTACCGTGGGTAGGTGGCTGAAAGTAGAAAAGCTGGAGGGTGGGAGTTTTAGGTCCCCAGGTACCCAAACCCCCGATCGCAGCAGAGCCCTGCCCACTCCCCGCAGGGCGATCGGAAGCCCGGCGTCCTTGGTCCCACGGCCGCCCTCGGCTGGCCGGTTCCTGCCCAGTCTCCACCCAGTCCTAGGCCCGGATCAAATCCCGGTGCCTCCGCCCAGTTTACCCGACAGCAGCCCACTCGCCTCACTGCATGCCTGGGGCCATCCCCTCCGCGCGGGGTGCGCCCTGGTCCACCTCCCAGTGAGTCCACCTCTCCTATTTCGGGGATCCAGCCGCGGGCTGGAGTGGGGTCCCGCTCCGCTTGGGAACCGAGGGGCCTCCTGCAGTGATGCCAGCTCCCCGAGGGCGCCAGGCTCCTAGTTCTGGTTCTGCCGGCTGCCCGCTGTGACTTTAGCCCAGCGTCTTCCCTCCGTGCGCCTATTTACCTGACTGACCTGGTGCTCCCTTCTACGACTTAGAGTCCGAGCGGCTCAGCTCGCCTCTATTTGCTGACCAGCACAAAACAGCTCAAACTCATCACTCTGCTGACGGCGGACCTTTAGCAAAGAGAAAAGAAGAAATTGGGGCCAGAGAGAGAGAAGTGAGGAGAATCAGATCCCAGGCGTTTGGGGAGAAGGAGCTGTAAGGAGCAGCACCCCCTCCACCGTAGCCCTTATCAGGTGGGAACAGCAGGTAAGCCGGGGAGGATGGAGCTGAGTAACTGGGGGGAGGGACGGCTGAGCGATCTTACACCCCTGTTCTGAGACGTGAGCAGGGCTGAGAGGGAGGTCACAGCTCTGGCAGCACTAGCTTTGCGGGGCTCTGTCTGGAGCTCTGCTGGGAGCCTGGGAGCCCAAGACTCCCTCTGCTACTCACTGCTCTGATTTTTTGGCCGAGTGGCTGGATGGGTGTCCCCTGGCTGGTCTTTCTGGAGTTGGAGCCAGCAGAGGGATACTTCCTCTGGGGCTGGTGTCTTGGTTGCATGCGTGGTGACCGATGTCTAAGAGCATCATCACCTTCCTTTCTCCCTCTTGTGAGTGTACCATTCCCGACTTTGTTGGACCAGGACCAGGAGGAGCAGTGGGAACCATCTGACTACTACCCAGGGCGCCTCCTTTGCCTTTCGAACCCCTGGCATGTTGAGGGCATCAGAGGGGATGGCTCTAGGGTGGGCAGTAGTTAGGTGAATCATGTGGGAGATGAGTGAGAGTTGGCCTGACTTTTGAAGGACTTCGGAAGCTATGGAGAATCCAGACACTGGTTCTGAGTGAGGGCTGCTCTTGGAACCCTGTGGTGTGGAAACAGGCTGGGAAGGCAGACAGATCGGTATCCAAATCCTACTCTGCAACTTGCTAACATATGACCCTGGATCACTGATTTGATCTCTCCAAACCCCATGACCCCTGTCGTAAGGATGGAATGAGATATGTCCATGACACTCCTGCCCATACATGGCCTCTTTCTAATGCCGACATGTTACTATCCCTCTCTCTTATGTTTGTCTTATATACCCCATGGATCTGTAAGCCTGAAGCAAGCAGGATTTGCCTCGGACCTATTTCTGTCTCTGCCACCCACACTATTGCCCCCAGTGCAGTATTCTGCACACAGGTGCACCCGGGTTCCAGCCCCAGCCATCTGATCTGGGGGAAGTCGTTTTACCTTTCTGTGCCCACCTTGGCATAACAGCAGTACCTGCCTTTCCTGTCTAGGCTGAGAAGAGCCAGAGCCCACAGGCCTCCTGGGAGAACAGCTCTGAACAGGGGATGTGGTGGTGAGGCAGAATCTGCAGACCCGGCCGGAAGAGGGCTGTCAGGACTATGGCCCAGGTCAGCATCAACAGTGACCTTGGCGAGTGGGGCTTCAGCACGGATGCTGGGGAGCGGGCCCGTCTGCTGCAGAGTCCCTGTGTGGACTCGGACCCGAAGAGTGAGGGGGAGGCCTCTCCTGAAAGTCTGAGCAGAGGCACCACGTCCTCGTTTGGGGCCATCTTCATTGTAGTCAACGCCTGCCTGGGGGCAGGACTGCTCAACTTCCCAGCAGCCTTCAGCACCGCCGGGGGCGTGGCCGCGGGAGTCACCCTGCAGATGGTGAGTGTGCGGCCCTGAGAGGGCAGGAATGCAGTTCAGCTGGGGAGTCCGGCCTCTTTGCCTCAAAGGGGAGGCTCTGCATGAGGGGTGATCAGAGCTACCACTCTCCCCACCCTCACGCAGGGCAGATGTTACCCATCTATGGCAGCATTCTTTCCTCTGAGCCCAGAGGAGGCTTCAAAAGCCTTGCGAGCAATCAGGGAAATTTGACATCAGTTGCATACTTAACAGTCTTGTGGTTATGTTTTTAAAAGTGGCCCTTATCTTTTAGAACTACATGAAATAGTACTGATGAAGTGATATGAGAACTTGTGTTTTCTTCAAAATAATCCAGAGCCCGGCCCGTGTGGCTCAGTGGTTGAGCATCGACCTATGAATCAAGAGGTCGCTGAATTGACTCCCGGTCAGGGCATGTGACCAGCTTGCAAGCTTGACCCCAGTAGGGGGCTTCTTTTTTTTTTTTTTTTTTTTAATATATTTTATTGATTTTTTTACAGAGAGGAAGAGAGGGATAGAGAGAAACATCGATCAGCTGCCTCTTGCACACCTCCTACTGGGGATGTGCCCGAAACCAAGGTACATGCCCTTGGCCAGAATCGAACCTGGGACCTTTCAGTCCGCAGGCTGATGCTCTATCCACTGAGCCAAACCGGTTAGGGCAGTAGGGGCTTCTTATCGATGTTTCTATCTCTCTATTCCTCTCCCTTTCTCTCTCTTTATTTTTTTTTTTTCTGTCCCCACCGCCCGGGCCGCCCCAGCCTGCCCGGTGTTCCTCGTCCCTCCCTTTCTCTCTCTTTAAAATAAATAAAAAATTATTTTTACAAAAGAGAGAGAACGTTTTTTAAAAAAATATTAATCCAGAGTGGGTGAAAGAATAGATGAAACAGGATTGGGCATGAATTGATCATTTTTGAAGCTGAGTAATAAGGACATGGGGGTCCATTATACCATTCTTTCTACTTTTGTGTGCATTTGAACTTTTCTACAAAGCTCCTTTTGTTTCTAAAGAAAATCTCAGGTCTCCAGTAATCTATTAAAATTGCCCTGCAATGCCCTGACCGGTTTGGCTCAGTGGATAGAGCGTCGGCCTGCGGAGTGAAGGGTCCCAGGTTCGATTCCGGTCAAGGGCATGTACCTTGGTTGTGGGCACATCCCCAGTAGGGGGTGTGCAGGAGGCAGCTGATCGATGTTTCTCTCTTATCCATGTTTCTAACTCTCTGTCCCTCTCCCTTCTTCTCTGTAAAAAAATCAATAAAATATATTTTTTTAAATTGCCCTGCAAGATGAGGTCTCTATGCCAAACCAGCTTTGAGCACTGGCCCCATAAATACTGAGCAAAACCAGGCTGTCCTTTGCTGCCAGGCCTTTTCCACACCCTCCTGCTCTGCCCCTGCCCACAGGGCATGCTGGTTTTCATCATCAGCGGCCTCGTCATCCTCGCCTACTGCTCCCAGGCCAGCAACGAGCGGACCTATCAGGAGGTGGTGTGGGCTGTGTGTGGCAAGCTGACGGGCGTGCTGTGCGAGGTGTCCATTGCCATCTACACCTTCGGCACCTGCATCGCCTTCCTCATCATCATTGGGGACCAGCAGGACAAAAGTGAGGCTCCCTCCGTAGCCACCTCATCCCTCCCCCTTGGCCCTGGGAATCCTAGGGGTGGAGGGAAAGGGCCTGGAACACCTTCCCCTGGGAATCCTCCTCCCGGCTGCTGGGCCCATTAGACAGATGGGAGCCCCGAGGCCCAGCGGAGCAGGAGGGCCGCACCTTGCAGTGGCCTGGTCTGACGTTCCCTCCTTCCTCCCTGTGCAGTTATAGCTGTGTTGGCAAAGGAGCCTGAGGGGGCCGGTGGCAGCCCCTGGTACACGGACCGCAAGTTTACCATCAGCCTCACGGCCTTCCTCTTCATCCTGCCCCTCTCCATCCCCAGGGAGATCGGCTTCCAGAAGTATGCCAGGTTCGGAGCCCCCACCCCAACCTGGGCCAGACAGAACCCTGGAGACCCAGGGGCTGCCAGGGAGCCCCTGTCCTCCATGCCACCTCCATGCCCTCCTGGGGCGGCAAGAGCGGGCAAGGGTGGCCGGCCAGGGCTTGCACGGGTTCCAGCAGAAGACTTTCCTTCCTGTTAGCAGCAAAGAGAGACGGTGGCCCTGAGCATCAGTGGGATATTCAGTGTCCGTGTCAAAGGGACAGGTGGCAACCAGAGGGCAAAGGCAGCCTCCGGGCCTGGACCTTAGCTTTCCCGGAGAGAATGGGACTTTTGATCAGTTGGGATTGCCACCCGGGCAGCATCTTCCACGCAGCTTGTTATGAAGGGAGGAGACTGGCTGCCTGACTCAGGGTCTGAAAAGCTGTTTCCTGCGCCTCCGTAATCGGCAGGGTCGCACTCAGCTGTCTCCAGGGTCCCCTGTCATGTTGACATTCCAGTATTTGTACCTCCAACCCTTTTACCTCCGGTATCTCCTAGCTCTCAAGGGCCCTCCTTGCAGCCCTCGCCACGTGTGGGCCGCTCTGATTGAAGCCCAGCCCTCCGAGCGCTGGAGCTGAGCCAGTGCATTTCCTGATGGTCAGAAATGCCAGTCTGGTCCCCTGTGGGGTCCAGCTCCCTCCTGGCTGTGGCCAGTTTCTCCAAAACTTCTTTCTCATGCATTTCTGGAGTCTTTGCTGGAAATAGCCTCCCAAGTTGTTCAGTAGACACTTGAGGTCACTAGAACGAAGGGTAGATGCCCCTGGGGTGGGAGCAGAGAAAGGGCGGCTGGGGCTGGGGAGGAAGGAGCTCCGTCCATTCTTCCCGCAGCTTCCTGAGCGTCGTGGGCACCTGGTACGTCACTGCCATCGTTATCATCAAGTACATCTGGCCGGATAAGGAGATGACCCCGGGGGACATCCTGACCAGGTGGGTGCGGACCCCCAAGAGACACGTGGGGGAGGATCGGCTGCTTGGGCCCCAGAAGGTGCCGAGTCAGACACCGAAAGGCCACACAGGTGCTCATCTTAAGGCTCGGTGGGGCTTGGCGCATCGGTCATCGTAGGAACAAGCGGTCCTCATCTCTCTCCGCTGAAGGGAAGTGAGAACCAGAGACGGGAGAGAGTTTGCCACTAACGCCCAACCACTGAGCCAACGTGAGATGGGGCCTCAGGCTGTGGAGCCTGCCAGGGTGGAGCTACACATTTTTCCAACTTGTGCGTCTCTGTAATTTCTGTATCTTCTACATGAGGGTGGATCTATTTGGTCATTTTTTTAAAAAAAAAAAAAAAAAGTTTCATTTTTTTGAAAGGAACAAACCAAAAAAAGTAAAAGCCCCGGTGTAGGAGCCAGAAATTCTGGATTTCAGTCCCAGGAGGGCCTTGAAGGGCCTCAGTTTACTGACCTGTGAAATGGAGATGTGCCCTCTCCCCGTTCCCAGACTTCTGTGGGTGGAGTGTGTAGAAGGCTCACTGGTGGAGGCCATGGTTGGCTGGAGGAAGAGTAAAGGCATGGGGGATGGGGGGGAGTTGGTGGCTGTGTGGGGTCCCCAGGCAGCACGTTCTTGTGTTTTCCACAGGCCAGCTTCCTGGATGGCCGTGTTCAATGCCATGCCCACCATCTGCTTTGGATTTCAGGTGCCAGTTGCCAGGTCCCTGCGGCCCCCTTAGCTCACTCCCCACCCTGGGATGGAGCCCACATCACGGGCAGGATGGGGGATCCTGGGAGGAAGGATGGAGTGGGGAACCCCAGGACTCGCCCCTTGTCCCTGTGGTCTTTGTCTCCAAGGTACCTCCCTCTGGAAACGGGGGGGGGCGAGGTCACTTCCCCAAGATAACTGTGACCTTCGCCCTGACAGTGCCACGTGAGCAGCGTGCCCATCTTCAACAGCATGCGGCAGCCCGAGGTGAAGACCTGGGGCGGGGTGGTGACGGCCGCCATGGTCATAGCCCTCGCCGTGTACATGGGCACAGGTGAGCGCTCCCACCTTCCCTCCGTCCCTCAGCGCTCCAGCCCAGCTTTCCCGGGGGCGGCCTTGCACCCTTAGCGTGTCAGACCCTTCTGTAGGCGTTGGCTTGAAGTGGGGCTGCCCTGGGCCAATGCCTACAAATGTCCTGCCCAAATGAGAGGAACGGGTTCATCTATTCATTCAGCAGCTCTGCCTGGTAAGTGCCAGGAACTATTCTCAGATGGGGGATGCCGTGGAGATAGGTAGGCCTGGCCCCGCCCTTGTGGAATGGACGGTCTAGTACAGTGGTTCTCAACCTTCCTAATGCCGCGAGCCTTTAAATACTATCCACTGAGCCAAACCGGTTCTGGCCATAAAATTATTTTTGTTGCTACTTCATAACTGTAATTTTGCTACTGTTATGAATCGTCATGTAAATATCTAATATGCAGGATGTATTTTCATTGTGACAAATTGAACATAATTAAAGCATAGCGATTCATCACAAAAACAATATGTAATTATATATGTGTTTTCCGATGGTCTCAGGCGACCCCTGTGAAAGGGTCGTTCGACCCCGAAAGGGGTCGAGACCCACAGGTTGAGAACCGCTGGTCAAGTAGGAGAGAGTCTATCGAGAGAAAAGCAGGAATCCGGGATTTCAGACAGTTGAGGGCCACAGTGAAACGGGACATGTGAGTGGGACTGGGAGGGGCGCCTTTGGGGGATGGTTCACAGAAGGCTTCTCTCTGAGGGGGTGCATTCGGGGAGGCCCACATGATGAGACAGAGTCAGAGTCAGAAGGGGCAGAGGAAGAGCATTCCAGGCAGAGGAACCAGAACCTGCCGAGTCCCTGAGCAGGGACCGAAGAAAGGTGTGTGTGGCTGGGGTGGAGCCAGGTGGGGTGGGCGACAGGGCCAGGTCCCCTGGGGCCTGGAGGATTGCTGGGAGCCAGAGCGAAAGTGTCGCAGGCAGGTGTGTCCGTGAGAGATGGCTGTGGGTGCTGTGGGGAACGGCTGGGATAGGGAGCAGGGCTGGGAGACCTGGAGGATGGCCCAGTGATTCCTCCACAGGCGGTTCTGGGGCCTCTGCCTCTGAAGACACAGCCAGGAACCAGGCAGGCCCTGTCCTCCTGGGGCTCATGTTCTGCTTGGAGAAGCAGATCATAAGTTAAAAAAGAAAAGGAGCCCTAACCCGTCTGGCTCAGTGGATAGAGCGTCGGCCTGCGAACTGAAAGGTCCCAGGTTCGATTCCGGTCAAGGGCATGTACCTTGGTTGCGGGCACGTCCCCAGTGGGGAGTGTGCAGGAGGCAGCTGATAGACGTTTCTCTCCCATCAATGTTTCTAACTCTCTATCCCTCTCCCTTCCTCTCTGTAAAAAATCAATAAAATATATTTTTTAAAAAAGAAAAGGAAAGAAAGAATTCAGAGAGAACGTGGGCTCTGAAGGAAATAGGCTGATGTGAGAGTGCTGGGGGTGGGCGATTGTGGGCAGGCTGGGTGGGGAGGCGTCTCTAGAGAGGGGAGATGGACCAAGGCCTGAGTGGTCGGATGAAGAGCTGGCTCTGAGAGGAACGTGCGGGCAGCGTGAGATCAGAGAGGTGGCAGTGGGGGCAGCCGTGAGAAGGCAGGGAAGGAGGCTCTGACCCCAGCCCACCACCCTCAGCCTGCAGAGCTGCTCCAACGCCCTCCCTGTCTGATGTTCCACCCAGCGTGGGCAGTCCCTCCGCCTTCCCCTGCCAAGAGTA